AAGGTGATTTGATAATCTATTACACGTGATCATCGGAAAGTTGCACACTTATATTCGGAGAATCAAGCCAGCCGTTTTTGCATATTCAAATTGAACTTAATATTCCGTGTCAATATTTTGCACACACATTGGCAACAGTTATGCTTAACATGCATGTAAATTTCATGAGCATTGGATTTTTGGTTGCCGATTTAGTGATGCTAGCGATTGAGATCGATTTCGTGTTTTAAAAAAATTAAACAGATTGTTATAACATATTAATATATTACATACAGTATATTGCATCCCAATTTCTCAATGAACTATCATAAAATGAAGTTAACAACGAGAGAGGGTCAAAAGCACGTTCCTTCGTGACTCTTCATGACTAATAATGCAACTTGTTATTGCAATGGGAAGCTTACCTGGTAATGTAACTGTTACATATTACTGACAGCCAAGACAATTGGCATTTGCGTAAACTCTTGGTAGTAACAAGCTGCATTCAAAACATATAAGGGCGACTTTAGTGGCCTGCTAACAGAATAGTCTCAGATTTCGCATTGCGCTCTCGCTTTACCCATATACGTAATATATATTGTACGTACAGGATTTTCTTTCCCTTATTTCTCCAAAACTGTTGCTGTAATAACGAAGTTGTAATAATTAAAAAAGTTAGTTCATGAATAGAACTCTATTACTATTATGGCCAGGCCAGTATCCAGTTGCAACCAAAGAAACTATTACTTATACTATGCGCAATATGGGAAGAAACTATAATACTGTTATATTTTGCCGGGTGAAACTTTGTCAACAGATTCCCGCTGAAAAACTGTATATTTTGTTGCAAGCGAAACACTGTTCGAAAAAGCAATTTTTCGAAAAAAGGTGACTGGTCAATAATTTTGTCCAGTGACTATAACGACGAATTTATCTAGGGCCAACTTTTATTTTACAAAACGTTATAATTAGACTATGTGACTTAAGCGTTTAAAAAATTAAGCTACATATAATTTTGCACGACTTTAGCCTCGTTTAAAAGCGCAAACAAATTGCTACCAGAGTTACAAAAGATTGCTCGAATATCTTGCTTTTTCGCGGAGAAATTAAATTTTGAACCTAGGGTAATATTGTAGCTACTGATCACAAATAATGGAATTACCGTAAAATTAACTCTAACGTTCGTGCATCTGGTGTACTACATATTTTACAATATGTTAACTAGTAATATAACAACGTTCCAACATTTACGTCACCGAAAAAGCTAAAATTAAGTCATACTCACATTTTTGAAATCTGTTATCAATGCAAAAATTTTAATCATTCGGTAGTCCAATATTAATGTTCTCGAGTCCATTGTATTCAATCTTTTGCTTTTTCACCGAAATAAGTGACTTCCGAGCGGCAACTCGGTTATTATATCCCAATTTATACAGAGCTCAGTTTACTAACGTATAACAGCAGTTCCAATTGATTTGACAACATTGGGTGCAGTCTGCAATGAACCTGGAGGGTAGAAGGGAGTTGGTTGTAAAGTTCGTTATACTTAATTTTTCAAGCTGCGGGGTTTATTGTTTCGTAATCTGCCGGCGATTGGTTCGAACAGTTATTTCAAAATGTTATTTTATCTCTGTCTGTCAGAATTGGTGGCCTCCCAGTGCGTGGGGTAAGAGTTGCTGTATTATTCTCACAGCATCATGCTATTGTGTCATGTATTGTTGGTTCTGAATGGCCAATTTTTTCCTCAATCTTTCGTTCAGAGTGACCAAATAGCCACTCCAATAATAAGACACGTTCAAACTCAGTAAGCTCTTGTCGGCCAGCCATTTTCCACAAAAAAGTTTAAATGTGTGGGCTGAATAATGTTAGTGGCTTAGTACAGACCCCATTGTGGTTGTCACATACGTGAATTATGTTTCGGAGTATTGTCAACAATGGTCAATAAAATCGTTTGTTCTTTTTTTGTTGCTATAACGATAATGACAATTGGTTGAACAGCCTAAATTACATTCTCGATATAATAATAACATTCTTGATACAGCGACCATTTGGGTTGGAATTGAGCGTGTCGTTATATCAAGACCCACTCGTATAAACATTCCGTACGAGGTCAAAATAAGATTTCTAACGGTGACACTTGGCATAAAATTATGGTGATACTTAGCATAAAAGTATGGTGACACTTGGCATAAAAATATGGTGACACTTGGCATAAAAATATGGTGACACTTAGCATAAAATCACATTGTGCTACTTCGAAGTCATAATTTTTTTTTCGGCCCCTTTATTTTGGTCACACAGTACTTAACTTGACGCAAATCCTTTCTTGTTTGAACGCGGGTACGAATCTTTTTTGCACCATATTGATATTGAGGGTAGTGTCAATCACGTGATTGCACTATGTGACGAGGGTGCGGCTCGCCATCTCGAGCTTTACACGTACAACAGGCATCATGCAGTTGTTAAAGCGTGAGCCAGCTGAACATCCACGAAACGGTTGCGCATTGCAGCGCTAACTTTGCACATGCAGATACTTACGTATAGGAAAAGTACGCCCGAACCCTGCATGGTTTCTGCAGAAAGATGGCCAAACTCGCGCTACAAATGGACATTTGATTTTTTCTCTTTGCATATTAATATGGAGATATTTTTGTTACCGCTTTATTGACCAAATCCGACGAAATAATTCGATAGTACATAGGTCCCAAAATTTTAACGAAGAAGTTCTGTAAGTATGTGGGAGTAACCTTTAATGGTGTTTACACTACAGGGAAGGCACTTGTGTTTTGTATTAGAACAGAGCTGCAATAAAAATCTGTCAATTTTTTTTTGAAATTAAATCTACATAATAATAATAATGTAGGGTCGTTTTTTACTTGATTTCACTTACTGTGTCCTTCGCTCAGCCACTGATTTTGCCATCAGACCATCATTGAAATTACTGTGCTATCAGAATGTTCGCTTTGTCTGATTTAAGACAAAGAAATCTCATTACGGCGTTATAAATACCAGATTGTACATCAACGTCTTTAGCATTTGACGTGCACTTGATAAAGAACGCGAAATATATCGCTACAAACCCTAATTGTCTCACCTTTGCTCAGTAGTTAGACAATTTATGCGTTACACAAAACCTCCATAACCACAAACCCGGAACCGTTCAAACATGTCGTCCAATCACGTTGATTGGCTCATAAATATTCATCCTTTTAGTAGTCCTCAACAAAACATTCTCGCTGTTTCAATACACACGGTTAGTACCCGTTTTTTTACTAGGTGAAAACATAGGACTTATAGCAGTAACACAGAGGAACGGCGGAAGGAGAAGGAAACAAGTGGGGAGAGGGTTTTGGTGATTGTTCCATAATACGACCATGTGATTGCGCTCACGATATTTCCGTCTTGTCTTTGCAGAAGAGAATAACGGAGTCTTTTGGTTCCGAGATATCATAAAACTAAATACTTTAATCGAGGTTACTGTTTCACTGGAAGAACCTCTCTGTCAGTAACTAATCGTGTTTGTAATGTGTGACTATAGATAATCTACTTGAAGAGCCTCCAGAATTAACTGATTGCACTGCTGCCTCGCCATACTTTGTAGTGCCCACCAATCGCAACGAAAAAAATAACTCAAAATGGCTTCGACAAACGTGCGACAACAAAAACAACGTCGTCCGGAGTTTGGTTACTCTGGCTCAAATGCTGGGTACGCCTATATTTGCCTACACTATTTGCTAACTGGCGATGTAGAATAACATTTATTACGCTGAATAACATGATTCCAGCAGTGTTTTGTTGCAAAGAATGACTTTGGTGTTCTAATAATTAACCGACTTTGAATCTCTACTATTTTCAGCCATAATAACCGCAATCAAAAAAACAGATGGGGTAATAACAATTCTCATGGGGTGATTTCTACAAGAAATCAACCGCCTAACAATACACAATCACCTAACTCACAACATCACAACCATGCTCAAACAATCGCATCCACGCAGAATGTTCGAAAACAAGTTGACAGTTATCCGGAAGATACAGTAGCGGCAAAACATATGCATGATCGCCTGCTATTTTTACTTACTCTGTTTGCGGTAAGTACGACGCAATAAGTGTTAGGAAAAGGGGCAAAAGAGACTGAATAGACCGCACGATATCGGAGAGGGGAGAAAGGGAGAGGTGACTTACTAAAAGTCAATATGCTTTAAATTCACATTGGACATATTATTATTAACGTCGCGTATTGAATAATTAAATGACAGGGTAAGACCGTCGTTGTCACTGTGAAGGATGGAACAAAATACGAAGGGCTCTTTCATACAGCCTGTACAGACACAGATATGGGCGTCATTTTGAAATTTGCACGGAAACTTCCATCAAAACCAGGAGAAAAAATGGGAAAAGCGTTGTCGACATTTATTATACTTGCAAAAGATTGTATGGATATCTATGCAGCAAATATAGATCTTTCAGCAAACGATAAACCGAATAATGAACGAGAAGGTATGCGATGAGAAGTTCTCAGTTGAATTAATCGAATTCGACCCACAAGCTTCTCGAAAGTAATTTAACATAATTGTACTGTTCCTGCAACGCTTCTTGGTACTAACACGCTGTTTTTCCCTCGACAGGGTTCAGGACAGATACCGACATTAGCGGACGCACTGAAATCCGCGAAAGAGAGTTGCACAAATGGACACCAGACGACCTTGTTGGATCTGAAATTATGGTTGGATTGGAAGACGAACCCGGTATGGATGCAGGCAACGGCAATTGGGATCAGTTTGCGGCGAATGAACAACTATTTGGCTTGAAAACGGACTTTGATGAAGAAATATATACAACTAAACTAGATAGATCAAAAGCTGATTTCAAAGAACGTGAGAGACAAGCAATTCAGCTTGCTAACGAAATTACGAAAACACAAACTACTAATGTACATGTACTCGAAGAACGCGGTGTTCTGATTGACGATAGTCAAATGGATGAAGAGGATAGGTATGGTGCGGTTGTGCGTAATAGGGATCCTAATAAATACATGCCACCGGCGCTGAGGAAACTACAAGAACAACAATTGCAACAAACTAACCAAGTTCAACAACCAACTTCACAACAACAACAGCAGCAGCAGCAGCAACAGCAGCAGCAACAACAGCAACAAGTGAAACAACAAGTTCAAAACCAAAACAAATCCCAACCTTCACAATCTAATTCTCAGAATCAGAACTCAAAATCTCCGCGCACGCCAACACAGCCATTAATTCCATTGTCTCCCGTGCAGCAACAATCCAACCCAATTCCAGTTCCAGCCCCTGTTCCCACCCCCGTCAAAAAACTTGAACCGTCTGCTAGCCAACTTGCCAAAGACATGGCAAAGGAAGCAACAAAAAAATCACTGCAAGATCAAAAATCGAATGCACCTGGCGCATCTGCGGTGCCGCCAAACGGTAATAAAACGTCGTCGCTCAATGGCCCTAACTCGTTGGCACACTTTAGAATTGCCGAACCAGTAGCGGCGTATTTACATTCTCAGATGGCAAATAGGAAAATAATTGAGGGCCAGGGTAAGCCGATCGAAAAGGAAATTGTTGGTACTTTCAAGCAATTTGTCAATACAGAGAAGGAGAGATTGCAGCAGAAAAAGCAGGCAATTTTCCAAAAAGAAATGGACGGAAAGGTGGCAGAGTTAAAGAAATGGGGGTTGAATTTTAAGGTGAATAAAATGTGTTAAATGTTTTTTATCAATAATTTGAAACGCTTTAATCGTCGCACTGACATTGTAATTTTTACGCATTCAAACTTGTACACTAACTTTATCGATAAACTTATTGGCAGCTCAAATCATCACCACCGGAAGATTTAATTCCTATTTTAACGAACGATGAAGCCAAACGCCAAGCACTTGCTACCAAGAACACTACCATTAACAACCAACCAACCATATACATATCAACCGCTCCCCCAGAAAAAGACCATCAAAATACCGAGAATTCGGAGAAAAAGGATGACAAGCTTACATCTGATGTCAATAGATCCAAGGACATTAAGTCCGAAGAAAAGAGAGACAAACCTCAGGACGTGAATAAGACTAAAAAAGAAGATAAATCCAGCCACAAGGGAAATGTCCCTTCCCAAATTGAACAAAAGTCAGACGGTAAGAAAATCAACACCGCTGTAAAAGTGAATGAAGATAAATCGAAGAGTCTTGATAGGGATGGCAAGAATACTGGCGGGGAAAATAAAAATAGTGCTGAAAAGAATACAAACGCGGAGAAGACAAACACGACATTATCGAATTCATCATCTTTGGGCACAGCTTCAAGAGCGACCACGACTGGCTCTAAATCAACCTGGAAGCCGAATCCGAATGCTGCATCATTTACTCCGGTGGGTGTTGTTGAGCACTGATGTCATCTTGTCACCGAATAATTGCTTTGAACATAAAAAGTGATTGTGCGTTAACACGATATGTATTGTTGAATATAGACTACTCCCACTTCGGCTACGTCAAACGACAAGTCTCCTGCTTCTGTAAGTGTAGGCCGCGTGTGTTCTACGTGATATGTTATCTACATGACTAAATAGGCCTCCTATTTTAAAACTTTAACAGTCACCATTTTTAAGTCAACGGCAATTGAAAAGAACCACTACATCGTTCCAGGGTAACTTTACACCTTTCCACAAAAGCAAGCCAATTGCCAATCCTAGCACCATACGTAAGCAGCAATTTCAATCCCTGAATCACAATAACTCTGTCCATATAACAAACCAAACATAACATACATTTTTATTGATAATACGCTATACTTGATAGCACCAATATGGCCATTTGGACAACGGCCATTCCGACTACATTTTAGCAGTCAATATGAAGAAGACATGTATACACCGAATGTGCCTTCTCAATTTGGATTCCAGTATGCAGTTGCCAGTCCGCAATTCAGATATCCAACACAATATGTAGGCGTCCCTCCAACCGTGATGCAACAAGCGCCTATGTATATGCCGCAAGGAGTAAGTAACTATAATTATGTTTGGGTATTAGATGCGCGTTGAGGCGTTTTATACGTTCTTCTATAATCAAACACTAATACGGTTTTCGTCTCTCAAGCATTTTGTGCCATTCGCTTCGCCTCCAATGCCAGCAGCAGGCGGTCCGCCACAGGTGATGTACAATCCACAGATGCCATCCGGAATGCCCCCTCGTAAGTTGCTGGATAACTTTGTCTTACATTGCCAGATTTGTCATTAAGAATTTGAGTAATTAATATGACGTAACGTTATTTAGAGCATTTTAGCGCACAAGGATTTCCGTCCCCAAATAGGACGCCAATGGTTCCTGGCATGCATCCACCTATGTATCCTCCTTATCAACAGCATGGTAGGATTTACTTGTTGTCAAACAAGATTACTATAGTATTATATGCTCACCTATCTCTTTTTCTATTTGGTCAGTTGCGATGCCACCTATGATGCGCTATACTACTCCTCATGAAATGGTAGCGCATGTTCCTCCAAACGGTGTGATGATGGGCCAGCGTCCAATGATGATGGAACAGTATCACGTACAAGGTGAAGGTGCACCTATGGGTTTGTATGCTTCGTAATATGCAAGAATTGGCAAATAAATACTATACAAAAATGGTATTTTCATATGCTGTACTACTTTTTAAGGGTGGTTTACTGATCTCTTTTCACAATTTTGACCCAGAAGCAATGCAAGCCCCCGAACCAACGCCAACACAACAGTAATTAAAGACATAGGAGACAATAATAAACGGATTGATGTATGAACATTTGGCGCTCGGTATGAGAACTATATATACCGCTGGTTTACAGACTGGCCATGAACATTACTTGGCTGTAATGATAGGTTCACAAGACAGTTATTCCAAATTTAGGTTTATTTCCGATCTCCTTAATTTCTTATTTGTGTATTTAGTCGTTTGGATGAATGGACTTTTGGTCACTGGAGTATGGACGTTTTTTTTTCCGGGGGTACTGGTCGTAAAACGTTGTATGCAGTAGTGTTTTGATTATGATGAGGATTGATTGATAAATCTGGTGTGAACGGGATGCCAAGAGTTTGCTACTGTGGGGAAAGCATGCTTGGGATCAACAGACAAAAAATTTTCGAAACTTGTACATTATGTAACAAATTTATTAAAAAGAAAAAAAAAAAGCGAAGGAAGAAGGAAGTAGCAGTCACGTCTGACTGATACGATCCATATAAGCATAGGTAATATTTGTTCGGAAATTAATTGCCCAAATGGAAATATCAAAAACGTTCTAGTTCCATCGTCATTCGTTGCACCGAATATGGATTAGATATGATAACCACGCGGCTCTGCTTAGATTAATTGTGTTCATCCAGTCCTGATTATACGATAATGAAATTGTGTTCATCAACACATCTCATCAATATAAAATCGAGTGCAAAGCGAAAAAAAAAAAGTTCGCCTTACAACACCCCCCCCCCACCTCTTCTATTCTACGTGAAGAAATGGCTATTTCGGAGACTGTCAGTAACGTCCTCGTCTATGTTACCCTCGTATTGTTCTTGGGTATTGGGTTATACGGTGGTTATAAACAAACGAAAACCAAAGTTGACTTTCTTGCTGCTCTGAGAACCCAAAGTGCACTTCCACTCGCTGCAAATTTCTTCACCACAAGTGAGTACTTGGTTTGCGACAAGACCAACAGGATATGAAACGGAAGAGAAACGGCAGCATGTAGGTTTCGTATTACCCGAAGCAGGTAACGTGCTTGAACTCAAACGAACGTGCCTTCCAAGTTTCACGTGATATCGTTATATCATGAACTGTTACTCGCTTTTTCTCTTCCCAAAATAAGCATTATGCAAGTATCTTGCGTCACATTGATAAACGTACTGCAGTATAGCGTGTTGCGTGTTACTTGGAACTTAATACAATATTAGATTTTTTTTCCGCATCGGCACTACGGGTGTCCAGTTCTTGTTGATAATGAAATTTCTCCTAAATGTGGAAATAATTCACAAGGACTGGGCTGAGAAAGCACCGTTAACTACCTGATCAGGGCAATGCCTGCGTAGGGAAGCTGCCGCTTCATTTATATATCTTTTTTTTTTTTGCATCTCGAACTGTTTTTTCTTGCGATCGTCTCATTGGAGCCGGAATAATGATGGCTTTGCGTTGATTTATAATAAGTACTTCTTTGCTCTTAGGTATTGGATCATCCATACTTTTTGCTTACCCGGAAATTGCTACAATTGCGGGACTTTTGGGTTTATTCATGTATGCATTTACTAGCACCGTTCCATTGCTTACCTTTGCTTGGTTCGGGCCTATAATAAGACGTAAATGTCCAGAAGGCTTTACTTTGACGCAATTTATCCTCGTGCGATTCCATCGGATCAACCAAATCTATATGTCTTTAATGTCAATGGCATTCATGTTCTGTTATATGGTTGCTGAGTTGTCATCAATTGCATTGGTGCTTTACTACTTGGCTGGATTGGATCAATTGGCGCCAATTATTGTCATCTCTATCGTCACTACCTTGTATACTGGTATGATGTCAGTTAATTTTTTATTGATATTGAGAGTCTATTGTCAATTGTTCTCATATTCGTCGTTTTGCAGCATATGGTGGTTTTCGCGCTTCGCTCTTTACCGATACTATTCAAGGCTGGATAATTTTGATTTTGGTGGTTATTGC